ATCAGAGAACATTTAAAAACCTCATTTTTACAATTCTACTCGCAATTTCGCAAAATTTCCCTTATTTTTAAAGGTCGAAATTTATCTTGAATTCTATTTTTTATCATTGTAACAGTTTGATTCATGATTACTCTGCTTTCTATTATTGTAATTTTTTCCTTTTCAATTTTTAATATTTGACTATTGTGGTAATTAAGAAAATTGTGTACTGCTCATAAATACGCTTCACTAAGTGGATTCATAAAGAAATCCGATTTTCCAGTGTAAGAAAAATCTCTTCTGTGCGCAAAATAAATGATTTAAAAAATGAGAATATTTTTATTACAACCAATTCTACATTTACGGTAATCGAGTCACATGACTTTCGACCGCTGTTCTGTAAAACGAGGGCTGAGCAACCAGCGCCCCTGATATTCGGTAATTTTTCTTTCAGTTTATAGTAAATATTTTCAAAACCCTTTCGTTTTAAACCACCAAAATTGGTGTTAGTATTATCTGCACCAAAAGCAATACATTTCTTCAGTGGAATTTTGCTTTCTTCCAATGTATCAATAATATATTTGGCAACTGCATTAGAAATTTCGTCTTTTAAACAATCAATTTTAATCATCTTTACCTCGATACCTTTATTTTCTGTAAAATAATGTATCAACACAACAAATATTTGGCTGAGTTATGATTACTCCCATCGGTGCTGATCCCAAAAAAAAACAATGTTATTTACGTCCTCTCTTAATAGTTTCGATACATATCTTCAAATACTCTTCTAAGTAATTTTGAAGTACAATCTGCACTTCGAAATGATTGGTGATGCTTGATTAAGTGATAAGACTGATTTTTTCTTGTTCAGTGGAATCATGTTTAATTAAAAAATCATCAATTTTAGATGATANTCTCCTTGCTGTAATTTTGCTGATTTCGGAAAATTCCACCATAAGAAGCATGTAATAATACTAAATATTCATCGTACAAGTAGATTAGCTTAAAGATGGAAAACACGATTTTTTTTTCTGGAACTTTGAAGACCATCTCAAAAACGGTGTGATTTTGAATAAGGCTATTTTTGGTCAATGGTCATTATTTGACACGTAGTATCACCAGTTAAAATATTTCCCATTATTAATGAAACAGCCCTGTATAAACACAGGGTCGCAACTCTTTTGTTTTTGAGCTATGAGCTGTCAAAGTTGAGCCAAAAATTTACATTTTATCTTTTATTTCGGGTATAAGTAAATCATAGAATTTGAAATTTTGTATTACTGGTTAATATCTTATTTTCAACCATACCTTAAACTTCCCTAGCGCCCTCTAAGGGGATGAAATTCACAACCCCTTTGATTTTTTTATAAGAACTTTTTAACGCCATGGAATATTAACATAAAAAAATATGGGTTTAAAGCTTATTCATTATTGGTACTTTTTTTTCGCTTTAGTTTTTTCCTTAAAGATAATAGTTTTAGCGTAAAAAAATAAAATATGCTACATTGTACTATAAAGCTATTATATTATAGCTGGCTATGGAAGTTGTGCACTTACTAGGATCTAGTACTATCTAAATAACACCAATGGACAACCTAAGCCTTGACGTCACAGTGATGGGCTTAAACTGACTCAAAACATTTTCGTTGCTAACTGTGTTGCTAACGATAAATCACCATATGCAATTTTCCATTAGTGTTAAAATAAAATAAACTAAGTAAGTGATGACATTTCAAATGATATTTTTTGGCGATTTATCGTTAGCTACTGTGGTTAGCAACGAAATTGTTTGGAGTCAGTATAAGCTCCGCCCATCTCTGTGACGTCAGACTTAGGCAGTCCATTAATTGTGATTTTCATAAGAAAAACCATCTGAACAAATTACGTTGTTTTAAACAATATTTAAAAATTGATACTCTTGCTTAATAACAGTCAAAAATTATTAATAATCAACAACAATTATGAGGATTCACTGTAAATGAAACTTACAAGCTCTTAGAGCCAACTTTTACAATAATTTTAAGTAAACTTAGCGGTACATGGCACGATATTTTATTTTTTTTACACGGAAACTATTAACTTTAAGGAAAATACTAAAGAAACGAAAAAGTACCACTAAAAAATGAGCTTTACAACCCATATTTTTTTATGTTAATATTCCATAGCATTAAATAGTTCTTATAAAAAAAATCAAGGGGGTGGTGAATTTCACCCCTTTAGAGGGCGCTGGGAAAGTTTAAAGTATGGTTGAAAATAAGGTCTTAACCAGTAGTAAATACGTACAAAGTTTCAAATTCTACAGTTTACTTACAGCCAAAATACAAAACAAAATGTAAATTTTTGGCTTAACTTTGATAGCTCATAGTTCGAAAACAATAGAATTGTGACTATGTTTATATAACAATTTTTTATATTTTGGCAACTACATCCTAGTAAAGTTTCCCGATTAAAAACTGAACCACCCTGTATACTCATCCATTTTCCTATGCACCCTTAAGATTTCCATGCAGTATTGTTATTATCAATTCACACTTTATGACGCCTTTAATATGACAGATTTGATTGTACAATGCATCTTCAGCGAAAGAAATTATATTTTTTAATGATTCTAAACATCTCGATATTTCATCCCATTCTGGCACTTCTTCTAACAATAACCATTCCAGAGACGAAAATTGGTCCAATGGTTTGATCCGCTTTTCTAGATACACTTTGGCAATCAGAGAACATTTAAAAACCTCATTTTTACAATTCTACTCGCAATTTCGCAAAATTTCCCTTATTTTTAAAGGTCGAAATTTATCTTGAATTCTATTTTTTATCATTGTAACAGTTTGATTCATGATTACTCTGCTTTCTATTATTGTAATTTTTTCCTTTTCAATTTTTAATATTTGACTATTGTGGTAATTAAGAAAATTGTGTACTGCTCATAAATACGCTTCACTAAGTGGATTCATAAAGAAATCCGATTTTCCAGTGTAAGAAAAATCTCTTCTGTGCGCAAAATAAATGATTTAAAAAATGAGAATATTTTTATTACAACCAATTCTACATTTACGGTAATCGAGTCACATGACTTTCGACCGCTGTTCTGTAAAACGAGGGCTGAGCAACCAGCGCCCCTGATATTCGGTAATTTTTCTTTCAGTTTATAGTAAATATTTTCAAAACCCTTTCGTTTTAAACCACCAAAATTGGTGTTAGTATTATCTGCACCAAAAGCAATACATTTCTTCAGTGGAATTTTGCTTTCTTCCAATGTATCAATAATATATTTGGCAACTGCATTAGAAATTTCGTCTTTTAAACAATCAATTTTAATCATCTTTACCTCGATACCTTTATTTTCTGTAAAATAATGTATCAACACAACAAATATTTGGCTGAGTTATGATTACTCCCATCGGTGCTGATCCCAAAAAAAAACAATGTTATTTACGTCCTCTCTTAATAGTTTCGATACATATCTTCAAATACTCTTCTAAGTAATTTTGAAGTACAATCTGCACTTCGAAATGATTGGTGATGCTTGATTAAGTGATAAGACATCATCAGTTCAGTAAGAATGATTTTTTCTTGTTCAGTGGAATCATGTTTAATTAAAAAATCATCAATTTTAGATGATAAAGATCCTCGACAATTATATAATTATCGAGGAAACATATTATGTTTTTATATCTGCTTTACCACCGTGACTAATATTTAAGAAACAATTACATATTTTGCATTTTGCTTCATTGTTAAATCCAAGGACTGTAGAATCTAACAGGACTGCTACATCCATTGTTGTGTTGTGACAACGTGCCTGCACACTACGTCACACCATTTGCCACGCCCAGTCAGCTGTCATTATGTTCTATGCGTTTGCTGTGTATTTTTAGAGGTTATATCGTAGACGTATTCATATTACTTTTGAAGTTTTATTTTTTTAGATGTATTAATGTCATATCATATAACCTCTAACACCACAGCAAACGTATAGAACGCAATGACAGTTAACTGGGCGTGGCAAATAGAGTGACGTAGAGTGCGGGAAACCAACCCGTAATGGGCTACAAAATAACAATGGATGTAGCAGTCCTGTTAGATTCTACTGTCCTCGGTCAAATCTAGCTTCTTTATTAAAAGGCCAGTTGGTTTCAAATTCTTGCCTAAAAGAACATTTATTTTTTCATCAGGTATAGATTTTAGGTTATCTTTAGTTTATAGATAGATGGTAAACAACGACATTTTAGTTTTAATTAATTATCGTACCCGACGTCATCATTGCAAGTATGCAACCAGTCAGAAACGTGACGTCACAAAAAGTGACGTCACGTCGAAACTTTAAAGTGATTTTTCGGTAAGGTTACACTTTTCCGCACTTTTTTTTTATTTGTAACAGCTTATTTGAGTAATTTCCCGTCGATTAATAAAAAATTGTCGATTTATAAGCGACATGATGATTCTTGAATTACACTTTCCTTTTAATTAAGGTTATGTATAAACAAACTTCCATAATGAGGTGGTGTCATCTATCGGGGATTATTTAAAATAAATTCGAGGCATAACCGATTTAAACGATTTTTATTTCTCGATGTGCATCGATGTTTAATGCTTTTTAGTTGATGATATGATGTGCTATCTAGAAATAAAAGAACCGATAAAAATCCGCATAATGTATACTAATTAATGGCATAAATGTTTAGGAGAAAAATTGTTGTCACAAAATACGTAAAAAATTACATTAAAATGGTGTAAGTTGATGTTTCAACCTGTTAACAATGTTTGTTATACGCAAAAATGTATATTATATGTTTGTTACACGCTTTTTACGGTATTTTCTACATAGTTGTTGAATTAGATGGAAAAACCTTATTTAGATGCATTAAAAAAAGTGAATAAATGATATATGAAGAGATAAAAACGGAAGTTTGCTTAATTTTTCTTTTACTTAACGAGAATGTTTTTGCTTAAATCTTTTTAGCTTTATATTCTTTTTTAAATATAGTAAATTGGCGATGTGTATTGTTGTTTAGGATGTCCGACCTCAAATTTCGATGCCAAATCAACAATCGAAAGGAAAAAATATTTTCGATGAAGGAGTCGAAGAAAATCAAAAGGATCGAGTTAAAGAAACGCAAAATAAAGCTGTGAAAGGGCCAGAAATCGCTTCGAAACAAGCCAGTTCCGGATGGTTCGGTGGAATCTTTAGCAAATTAGCTTTAAGGCCTAAAAACCAAATGAAATTGCCCGACGATAAAAACCCATCGGTAGGTTATTAAAGTTGTTATTAAAAAAATTATTTATTTAAATTATAAATGTAAATAGATTGTGTGGGATCCTGAGAAGAAGAAATGGGTTAACCTCGAAGAAGATCAAAATGATGCCACAAACGAATTAAAGCCGCCCCCGAAAATGTCGGATTTAATGCCGAAAATGAGTGTTCCAACGATGTCTCCACCACCAGGTAGTGATTTTTCAACGCATGATCCAAATTTCCAAAGTAGTTACCAAAATTACCAACAATCTAACCAACCAGATAGTTTAACGATGATTAATAATCAATCAATGAGTCCAAATCAACCCGTTTTATATGATCCATCAGGTCCTCAAATAACTGGGAATCATTCTCAGTCGCAAACTACGTTCGGAGGAGTACATTCGGCTAATTTGCCCGGTGGAGGTGTTCCGGGAAGTGGGGAAGAATTCAAAAATAATCAACCGAATATGTTTAAGTTACAAAGAGGTCGAAGTAAGTAAAAAAAATACAGTGAATTTTACTTAAGGTGCAATCACGAAGTAGTATAAGGAGATAAAACGGCAATAGGCGATTGTGTTCCAGAATAGGGCGAATCTAATTCAGAGTTTTACATTGTGGCTCTGACGACAACGCCCCAGTGGCAAAACTGTAAACTAACAAAAATTAATCTGTTTAGTTAGGATAGGTCGCTTATTTTTTCCTTTGTAGTCCATTACATTTTATTATTACACACCATTTTTACAACTCAATATTAGATAATAAGTAATTATAATAATATTAATCAATATTATTATAATTTTTATTCTTCTTCAGAACATCTATCAGAACAAATTGCAAGCAACTATAACCTAAAAAGTATATTTAATTTTAGTTTGCAGTTTTAACACAAGGGGCGCTGTCGTCAGAGCCACAAGGTATAACTCAGAATTAAGTTCGCCCTATTTTGGAGCAAATCCCCCACCACTTTTGTATGCTCGTTGTATCTCCTTATACTACTTCGTGGGTGCAATATACAAAAATATATTTCCATACTTTGTCCCATATAAAATGCAACATGTCAATACAATTTGACAATACAGTAACACCTTGACATAACTGATTAAAACGGGGAACGCAGTGTTTGTTATAGCTCTATAAAAATATACAATAATCTAGCGTTGAATAACAAATAAAACTAGACTAACACTATCACTAGAACTAGAAACATTTCCTGCGTCTCTTAAGATGGCTAATCCTGACAAACATTAGACCTGTTTCTAGGTTCTAGGTCTAGTGTTAGTTCTACTTTTCGTCCAATAAAAGTATACCACAATGTAATACTACAATTAAAACTAGACCTAGAACTAGAAATATTCGGGTTTAGCCGCACGTCTTCAAGACGGCTAAACCCGAATGATTGATTCAAGTTCTAGGTCTTGTGTTAGTTCTAGTGATAGTGCTAGTATAAAACTAGAACTAACACTAAATGATTCTAGTTCTAGAACGTCACACATTTCCGAGCGACAAAAAAACCAGATCGAAAATATTCTGCTGTTAGCAATTAACTATAGCTTTATGAAACTTGGCATATGATTGCAAGACCAAAAGGCAAATGTTGTGTCAAAATTTGAATTAAATTCGTAAACCGGAAGTAGTACTTTACTTAAATTCGTGCTCATTTTCTTTTCATATAAATTAGGACTTCAAAGAAGAATGCTACTACAAAATTTCGTGCAAGACATTAGACATATACAGTAAGACCTCCATATAACGAAATTGGAGTGACGACATATAACGACCTCCAATCTTTTGTGTTTTCTAAAGTTGTGTCGTTTTGTAGAAAATTTCTTTATACAAAATAAAGAAATTGTAACAGCAATTTATTTCGTGCAGTAGCTATTATAAAACACCTAAGACTTCATAAACTTCACTAAGTTTCTTAGGTTCCACTATTCGTACAGTTTTAAAATGTTGGTAGCATGGGTTGTTCATTGGAAACTTTCGATCTAAATTATTTTCAACATGGCTGCCACTTCCGGTATACCGGAAGTAGACCATAACTTCGTTAAATGGAATGCTATAGTTCTTATTACACCTTTTAATTGTACGCAAAAAATATGTTGACTTTCATAAAAGTTATTGGTACCTAGCCGTCTTTCGTTTTCGAATTATTTTCATTTTAAGTTTTTCTTGGCAAATTTCACCATGCTCTTTAAAACCCCATATAAAACCCCAGCCAACGTTCATTGAAAAAAGCTCTAAATTGCCACGATTACTCTTCAGATGCTGTCAAATAGATTGTCATTTATTTTATCAGAGTATCTTATACAGGTTGCCGCGAGAAACCGCAAGAAAGTCGAAAATTTTAAATGGAACGCCCCATGTTTTATTAGCCTACCCGAAAGGGAATTTAATTCTCTACAATTTATCTATAAGCATTCCTATAGCTATTTATTGTAGTTTCTCTCATATTGGGAAATTTATCAAAACATGCAGGAAACCGTTTGTATTTTTATTAGAAGGCCATGACATTCTGACAGTTTTTTGTTTAATTTATTTCTATTATTATTTGTACTATTAACAACGATTGATGATCTTTTAGTTTACTAGCTCTTACTTACCATAAATAACAAAGAAGATCAAATAAATGAAACAATTAAAACAAAAAGTTAATGACAAAAATTAGATTGGGATAAAAATATAAATATATAATATAAATTTGTTATTAAATTGAATTTGGAAATGCAATAAAATACGATAAAATATTTATTTCGTTGTTTTCACCACTGGGGACCGGAAATATGCGGTTTTTTTGGTCTCGATATGTCCAGAACTAAGAAAGTCTTTGTCAATTGTTTGAAATGTTTCCTTGTGTTGGCCGTTAGGTGTGTTACGCATCTCTCATTAGGTGTTTTACACGTTCTGTCCAAAAGTTTATTACATTCTCTATCAATACAAAATAAATTTCAAATATCGGCGTTAGAATAATCTGCCATGATGTTCAATGATTTACACCCGTCGTCAAATGTAACTAATCACAACAATAACACAAACATGAACGAAAAACTCTCAATATTCCATAGCTTTCTAATAAAAAAACCTGCATTTCGTGCATGTTTTAATAAATTTCCCAATATAATTCAAACTACAATAAATAGGTATAGGAATGTTTATAGATACTTTGTAGAGAATTATATTCCCTTTCTGATAGGCTAACAAAATATGGCGTTCCATTTAAAATTTTCGACTTTCTCGCCATTGAATATGGAGAAACAGTAATTCAATTGCTGTGTAAGATACTCCGATACAACAAACGACAATCTATTTGACATTATCTGAAGAGTAATCGTGCCAATGTAGATCTGTTTTGAATTAGCGTTGGCTGAGATATAGGGTTTTAAAGAGCACGTTGAAATTTACCAAAAAAAGCTTAAAACCAAAATAACTAGAAAACGAAACTAGGTACCAATAACTTTTATCTACAACTATTGAATTATCTATTCGTTATACATTTGATTTTTGACGGGTAATGACACGCATTACTCATGACTGACAAAGTGTTGAATAATGAAGCCATTATTCCACAGTTCTGACACGGCCTACTAATCAAAAAATAAAATATTTACAGAAATGACAGCTTTCTTATATTGACTATTTATTTCAAAATTAAATAGTTGTAGATAAAGTATAGTATTCAACTTGCGTATAATGGATGTTACCCACTCAGATTACAACACTCGCTCGCTTCGCTCGCTCATGTTGCAACTTCATCTTCGTGGGTAACAGCCGCCATTATACGCTTGTTGAATAATATACTATTATCAAACTCAACCTATTTTTTTACGTACAATTAAACGGTGTAATAAAAACTATAGTATTCCATTTAAAATAACGAGCTTATGGTCTACTTCCGGTATACCGGAAATGGCGGTCATCTTGAAAATATTTTAGATCGAAAGTTTCGCATGAACAACCCATGCTGCCAAAATTTCAAATCTCTACGAATAGTGGAACCTGAAAAAGTTCTAACGAACCAGTTACGTGTGACACCTGTATGTAACATTTAAATTGTTTTTCTAAAAAAATTTTTTTTAAATTGATTTTCGATCGGTTCTTGAGTGTTTTCGGACTACTATGCGTCACCTTTTTCCAAGCGCAACTTTTCCTTTGCAAAACTACCCAATGCCTGTACTATTAAGCTATGTTGCATTTTATGTGGGACAGTGCAGGTGCATAGTAGTTTCGTAATTATGGTTACTGTATTCATATATTGCGACTTACAGTGGCCTTTCTTAGTTTCTTACTAAAAAATATTTAAACTACAACAGCTTGGAAAAAAAAGTAAATTGATTTTCAGTAATTTATTAATTCCATATCGTCGGCTTACTAAGAAAACCACGTAACTCCAATTTTTACCATAAATAAGATTTTGATGTAATTATGTAACAAATTATTAAATCTACCAATTCCGAAAACTGTGCGTATATTGAAATACACGTTTCCGCTCAATCCAGTCTTTTCTGTCTCCTGTAAAGTTTTCCGAAACGGAGTTACGTGGTTTTTTTACTAAGCCGACGATATTCAAAAAACAAACACAAAAGGCAAAAATTTATTCACTGTAATAAAAAAATATAAAAAACTATAACTATAACTTTTGATTTTCAAATTGCTCGGTATGTTTTTCTTCGCGTTATTGGATAGAGATTTTTTTTCTGAATCCATTAATGTACAATACATCAACATTAATTGTAGTAAAGAAAAACATTAAAATAGTTTCCGAACATTCTTACAGTCACTTGTGTTATACTGTTGTGTGCCATGAGAAAAAATAATCATTTACAGCTGCTTCAGGCATTGAAATATCATTTAATGACTGTTACTTTTCTCTGCTAAAATTACAATTAATGTTAATGTATTGTACAGCAATGCGTTCATAAAAAAAATCTGTTCCCAATAATGTGAAGAAAAATCAAATGAAATGGTTTGATGAATACTATGATTCATGCTACAAATAAACTTTTTCCAACGCCATCTTCAATTTAAAGCTATTATTAACTTTTGTTTTTCAAATTTCTGCGTATATTTTTCTTCGCGTCATTGGATACAGTTTGTTTTTCTGAATTTATTGATGTACTGTGCATCCATTTTAAATGTAATATTAACAGAAAAAAGACACCTGTATATACAGGTTGTCACACCAGAATGCCGCAAGGTGTAACTCTGTCATTTACATTCCAATTTTCATGAGCGAGGTATCAAATGAAAAGGTTTGATGAATGCTATGATTCATGCTACAAATAAACTTTTTCCAACGCCATCTTCAATTTCAAGCGATTATCAACTTTTGATTTTCAAATTACTGGGTATGTTTTTCTTCGCGTTATTGGATACGGATTTTTTTTTTATGAACCCATTGCTGTACAATACATCAACATTAATTGTAATTGTACCATAGAAAAACATTAAAATAGTTTCCGAACATTCTCTTAAAGTCACTTGTGTTATACTGTAGTGTACCATGAGAACAACTAATCATTTAAAACTGCTTCAGGCATTATATTGAAATATTGATATTATTGAAATATCATTTAATAACTGTTATCAGTTTGGCGCATTATTTTTTTCCATGGCACACTACAGTATCATTTAAAGGATCATTTTAAAGGATTTTTCACGACGTTTACAAATATGACAAAATTGACGTTGACAATCTTAACCGGAAGTTGACCATAACTTCATATGTCTGTATAATCTTATGATAGCTGTCATCAGTGTTCTGTGATAAAAATAGACAGACACCAAACAGTTTTCAATAGTTTGAACCTGTCTATTCTGAGAAGTCCTATATTTTTTGAGAAATGAAAACGAAAATCTCGTTTTTGTCAACATTGTTCATTTGTCGTTTAGTCAAGTGATGCATAACCCGGTCCAATTGTAGGTTCAACTCAGATTTACTAGAAACTTCAAGTTCCAGAACTTTTGTATCTAAATAATTCCATAAATTTTCAATGCGATTTATGTCTGGGCTTTGGGGTGGTGTTTCCATTACATGAGGGCAATTATATAAAAACCAAGAACGTACTTTGTACGCTTTGTATTTTGGATCGTTGTCTTGGTAGAATCGCCAGTCGCTGCCAGGAGATAGTTTACCCACGCTACGAGGTAAATTGGATTCCCTCGATGAAATGAAAACATCCTAGTTTAGCAGCTGAAAAGGACCCTCACAGCATCACAGATCCGCCACCATGTTTCACAGTTGGTCTTAAATTTTTTAAATGCATCTTCTTATTTTTTTTTCTTCATACATCTAACCCAAAAGTATATTTACTTACACCAGTAAATAGAACAGTTTTCCAAAAAGAAAAACGTCTTAATTTTCGTGCTCTGTCTCAAATATTAATCTGATGTTATGATTCTTTTTACTGATTAACGCTTTTCTTCTCGCCTTTCTACCATGTAAATTAGCATTATGGAGCATGTTTATGATGGTTGACGCACTAGATTTTTTCCCTAGTTCATTCTCAGCGATAATAACCAGCTTTGGTGTTCTAAGAAATGGATCCACTTTCATTTTTCTTATTAAATGCCGTTTTTGCCGGATTTTGAAGCGCTTTATTATATCGTAAACCGTAGAATGGCTTGTGTCTACAATTTTTGCAATTTCTCATACCGATTTTCCTTCCTGGTAGTGTTTAAGCACTAATTTTCTAATTTCAATAGTTGTTTGACCTCTTTGTCTAGACATTTCAAATAAAAAGCTAGATTTCCGCGCAAATAATACAAAAAAGGCAATTAAGGAATTCCTCTTGTCAACTGTTAAAGCTTGTTGTTGCCTTAATTTAGCGCTTAATTGGTTATTGAGTCAATAAATTTTTGTATTTTGTGTTTGTTTTTTGAATATGCAATTAATAAATTACTGGAAATCAATTTACTGTTTTTTCCTAGCTGTTTTAGTTTAAATATTTTTTACTAAGAAACTATTACTACTCTACTGTCAGTCAGAGTTTGGCTTGGATTCCCGGTATTAAATAAATAAATAATTTTTGTTTAGATCTAAAAAAATCTTATGTTGATGTGTTCAATCCGGGTGGAAAACCGAGTGTTCCTACAATGATGCAACCCCCTCTTGGAAATTCAACGGCCGGTGGGGATACTCAAATGAATTATTTCATCCCAACCCCGGTAAACGACCCTAACGCTCCAACAGATTTTTTAACACCAGCTCCTACACATATAGAACCTCAGGTAAGATAAAAAAAATCATTTCTTCACAAACATTTGTTCCTTCATTAATGTTTATTATTTAATTACCTTCTCCTTGGCTTTCTTTTAAATCTGATCTTATCTGTTTTATTGGATATGTTATAGAGGAAGGGAGTGAAATCTTAAAGAAGTTTTGAAAATTAAAAAAAAATAAATGGTATGGGGCATGCTTTTAACTTAAATACTAATTATTTAATTAATATTTTTTCTTTATAATAAGTTTTTTTTTGTATCTTGTATCTAATAATTAATTTAAAGTATGAAAGTGGCTTAATTAGTTGGATTTATTTAATGAATTGATTGATATTAAGATTTTTGGCGCAAATTTTTTGTCTATTATTATTTTTACGGTTAAATTAACGCTGTACAATATTTTTTGGGGCTATGGCTTTGGTATTTTATTGTTGGTACTGGTTAGATGTCTAGATGGAGTTCGGCTAGTTCACTTTCTAGAGAAGTTCAACATTACATGTTACCAAATTCAAAGAAAATTCAATCGAAATCCCGTAAATATGCTCATTCTATCCTCAAACCTTTGGTATGTACCCATTTATTTTAAGTTTTTCTACCTTTTATCTGTTCTCATTATTATTTTTATTCATTTCATACGAGAATATTATATTTTTTTTAATGTTTTCATTTTGTTTCAGGCCCAAATTCCTCAACAAACGATAAAGAATTAATAAAATATTGAAAACGGAATGAAAAGTGTCCCTGAAACTGTGTTTTGTTTTATATCGATGTTTAAAAATTGAAAAGCATAAAGTTTTGTATAAAAAAATATTACTTGATAATAATAAGCTTTGTGGGAGAATCGTAGAAATTGAAAACGAAAAAATTTAAATGTTGTTAATACTTACATTGTATACAATCCTGTGATGATTGATTTTAACTTATGTACCGCTACGTTTAGGGTGAAGTGTTGTTATTTTTTTTGTGTTTAATTCACCGAAAAAGACAATGTCTGATTAAAATAAGAAAAAAAACCAAATTGAGTTCAGAAAATCAATAAAATTAATAAAATTATGTGGGAATATTGTATGATATATTTGATGAAGGGTGTACTTGAACATATTATATTAAAAATCTTTTAATTATTAAGGATGTTTCGGTTTTTATTTTATTTATACTCCCTAAAATAAATTAGTTGAAAGCAAATTGATTGCTACTAAAAGATTTGATTTAAGTTTTAAGGTTGGTCATACTGTCAGACTCGTAGCGTTGTGTCTCTCCAGGAATTTTATTGATTTTTATACATTTCAATCGTACACCAAATCTGAGTGACGTACTTTGGAGCTCCAATCGTACGCTCAGATCACAGTGACGTACTTTGGAGTTCGCGCCCTGTAGTTTCAAACTCAATTTAATTTTTTTTTTTTGAAAAACTAAACCTCAGAATCAAAAATTAAAAAATGTAGGGTCAATCAATTTAAAAAAAAAACTTTCGAATAAGCCAATAAAAAAAAATAGTTAACGGCCCTATTGTCAAAAAGGTATATGTCTTAACCTCAAGTACGGTAGAATCTAACAGGACTGCTACATACCGGGATAAAACCAGAACTAACACTAGACCCAGAACTACAAACATTCGAGACATTCTAAACCTAAATGTTTCTAGTTTTAGTTCAAAACAATATGTAACAATTAGGGATTGCAATCCCGGGATCCCGTACGTATTTAAATCTCGAAAATTATCCTGGGATATCGATTATAATTTCGGGATTTTCGGAGTTATGTTTACGCCATTAATTTAGTATTTTTTGAAAATTAAGACTCCATCTATCGGTTGACACTGTAAGCACGCATTCGACATTACTTTTCCCTCAATATTTGTGTCCTTCCCCGAGCTAGACAAGGTTGTTTATAGGTTAGATAGTGAAATTAATTGTTTTGCTTTTTATTGTGAAAGAAAATACAAGAACAGAAAATGAGTGAAGGTAAGTCGAAAAATCTTTTTGAACGCGTTTCTTGCCGATCACGCCAGTTTGCATTTTATATTTAAATTTATCATCTTAAGCGTATCTCTCCAATGAATATAAAGACAAGATCGCAGATGATGGCGGAGACGCCGATAGCGGTCCGATCAGTTTATAAAAATAAACTATTGGGAACAATAAGGAATTTCATTTCAAACCAGTATCAACTTTTACCATATTGCTATCCATATATCAAATTACGTGAAACGGCAAAATGTAAAAAATGTTTTACTATTCTAAAAACAAAGGGTGGGTCTACCAAAGGAATTAATCCTTTGGTAGACCCACCCTCACTCATTTATTAAACATACACAAAATAAACATTAAAGAGCAACGAAAAGAACGACCTTGTCTTGCAACTTTAAATGCACCTAGCACTTCAAGCACATCTAAACAAATAAAATTAACAGATTACTATTTGATAAAAACTGAAAAAACACTTGATGCAGTTCTGGCTAGAATGACATCATTAGATGGGTTGTCGTTTTCTGTTTTCATTACATCCAGAGATTTACGAGAATCTCTTCAAGTTAGAGGATTTATATTGCCAACTTCTTCAAACACTATTAGAAGCCGTGTACTAAATTATTATGAAAAAGTTCGCGCACATATTATTCAATCCATAAATAAACAAATGGAAAATGGAATAAAATTTAGTCTTACATTTGATGAATGAACGTCTATTTGTAATAAACGTTTTATGAACATTAATGTACAGTGTTTTGAAACTCATATGAATTACACATTCATTTACAGGTGAAGAGTGTGTTTCTATGGTGCAGATGCGATTAAATGAATTTGGATTAAGTTTATCAGAAGATGTAGTTGCAGTTACAACAGACGGAGCTGCTGTAATGAAAAAAGTGGGACGCCTAATGATGCTAAGCCATCAATTATGTTTGGCTCATGGTTTACAGCTAGCAATAATAGATATATTATACAAAAAGCCAAAAGAACAGCAAAGTATATTAGAGCAAAACATTATCAATACTGAAGATTCGGCTTCAGATAACTCTGATGCATCAGACGCATACAGTGATGAGGACGGAAACTTTCAAGTTCAAACATGCAAATCGTTTGTAGAATTAACAGATACATTTGAAATTCAATTGGCTATTTCTAATGTTAGAAAATTTGTTAAAAAGTTCAGAAAATCTCCTACAAATTACATAAAACAAGACCACGGAAAAGAAATTAAATTAATTTTAGATTGCTAGACTAGGTGGAGTACTCTGATATGTTAGAGTGATTCATATTGTTAGAGAAATGCGTACGTAAAGCAATGGTGGACATAAAAGAGCCCTTTCTTGTAGATTCGCAGTGCGAGCTTATTAAAGCGTCAGTAACAATATTGGAACCAGCAAAGCTAACTGTAGAAGCCTTATGTCAGCGAAGTATTACACTAGGAAAAGCAGATATAGCTTTACAATTTATGTTAAGTGAGATAGAGAAGTGTCCATCAGTTTTAGGTCAAAATCTATGTGATGCGTTTAGAACACGCATAAGAGAAAGGAGAACCATTAATTCCTCTATATTAAGTTACCTCGAAAGAAACGAAAATATTTCAAATGATCCTCTGTTTAAAACTCCCGGGAACGATACAATTGCCAGCGAAGTAGAGAAACTTATATTACGTTTAACATCAACAGATGAACAAAATACACTGTTGGACATAATTCACGAGCACACCCTATATAATCTGAACCCGTGAAGATAAATCCATGATATTTGCGGAGCACAAAGGTTTACTGTAGACGAGTTTATTCATCGAGTTTCGAGTTGTTCCGTCGCGGCATTGTTGCCTGAGTCTCTCTTCCAAGTGGAACATTCCGTCGCTATGGAGACCGAAGTGGATGGAAAATACCGGTCGTTTTTAGTGTGGTGTGAGGAACCACATTGTTATCGTACTCTGTCCGCAATGGATGGGCGATCGCGTTACTTAAGCGAGTTTGAGCGAGGAATGTTTGAGGGTATGCACATTGAGGGTGTATCGTTCCGTGAAATTGCGCGTCGTCTCGACCGGTCGTTATCGGCAGTGCAACGGGCATGGCGAGAATGATCTGAGGTAGGACGTAGGTACCTTCAGCCGCGGCCGGGAGGGCCCTGCGTGACCCCAGCACACGAAGATCGCGCTCTTGTGCTCAGCGCTTTAGCGTTGTGTGAGTCCTCCTCAAGGCAACTTGGAGCTGTTTGGCCACCGGCAGGGGAAGGCGCACTCACTACGCGAACTGTACGGCGACGTTTGGTAGATAGTGGACTGCGCGTGCGTCGTGCGAAACAGCGGATTCCAGTAACATCCGAGCACCGCAGCATACGTCACGAATGGGTCAACGCTAGGCATTAGTGGGTTGCCGAGTAGAGGGACATTTTGTTTTCCGACGAATCAAGATTCGAATTGAGCACCGGTGATGCGCGAATTTTAGTTCGTTGGAGACGTGGTGATCGTCTACTCGAGCAGTGCGTGCAAGAATGCCCTATCCACCGACAACCGAGCGTTATAGTTTGCGGTGCTATTACATATGGTGGACGTACACGTTTGCTGCGTGTATAGCAGACCATGACAGGTCAACAATACGTAGATGAGGTGCTACGGTCCGTTGTGCTTCCCTACGTTCGGCGGCTCCCAGGTCTGCTATACATGCACGACAACGTACGACAGCACATCGGGCGTGTTGTACAGACCTTTGTGGAAGAGCACCGTATACGAATGCTTCCATGGCTAGCTCGGTTTCCGCATCGGAATCCGATCAAACATGTTTGGGAAATGACTGGTCGGAGACTTCTACGTTATCCGGCTTCCTCGGCTAACGTTGAGGAGCTATGGAGGCGAGTTGAGGTGGCATGGTTGGCCATCCCTCTTGCTACAATACAGCGACTTATTGACTCCATGCCACGTCGTGTAGCGATGGTACGCGAAGCTCACGGGGGATACTCTCGCTATTGATGTTTCTCCTCCCAGCAGAGTTGTGCCGCTCTCCATGTGAGAGTAAGTTACACTACTTTAGTACTACTTCCATACCAAATTTTATTGCGCTAGACACACGCGTTCAGATTATACAGGGTGTGCTCGTGAATTATTTCCAACAGTGTATGTTTGAAAATGATGAAGATGACATATTAATTGCGGTGCCTCAACGGCAGGAAAATCAGACACTGAAAGAAAAGCTTTATTCGGGTTTAAATAAACAACAGCGACTTCTATTCTTATTAATTAAGAATACACTTTTCAATTCATTAATCCAGGAAATGGATATATTCAATAATGGCGGTAGTATGGGCAAAAATCTGTAATTTGCCTTTAATTGTTGAAGACTATTCCACCTACAAGTGTGGAATCGGAACAGTGCTTCTCCTCAGTAGGTTTATTATTAAAATGTAGATCACGTTTAGGAGATAAAACAATGGACAAATTGCTCGTTTTGCGAAATTTCTTTAATAATAGTTCTCAGGATGGTTGATTTTTTTATAATGTTTATTTATAAATTTTCTTATATTATAGTTAGAATAAACTGCAACGTTAGAAACACTTTGAACACTTTTTATTTATAATTACCAGAGCTGCGACGTTGTCGGGCAACTCATTGGAGGCTCGTCGTCTTACGGTAGAGACTCGGGCCACATGGACCACATCACGCCACATGTACTATACCACGCCACTGATTGAATTTTAAACGGACAATCGGCCAAACACGTATTGAACGCTGCACCGCAGAGAACCCTCTCCAGATTTTGCATGGGCCAGCATTCAACCAGTATCGTTATGTTGAGGCACATCGATGTGCTCGATAGAAGCATGTTACTACTACGCTATAACCCGTTCGCTGCTCTATACAGATGGTGACAACAACAGCCCGAAACGTCGCGGCTCTGATAATTACATATGTAGCCCATAAATCCCGGGATTACCCGGGATGGAGAATTCTGATCCCGAAATTATAAAAATTATAAAAACGGGATTATAAAAACCCTTCTTGAGTGCAATCCCTAGTAGCAATCTAGTGTAAGAAATTTCAATTTGTCTATTCAATCCCTTTCCCCGATTTAATCGCACTCGTCTGTTTTACTCCTTTTTGAGGGCTAAAGTTACAATAGATCTTACAGGTCGCGGTAACGAGAGGGGCCGCTCCC